GGCTCTGTCTGATCACCATGTGTACCTGGAGGGCACTCTGCTGAAGCCCAACATGGTCACAGCTGGACAGTCCTGTGCAAAGAAGTTCACCCCTCAGGAGGTTGCCATGGCCACAGTGACCGCTCTGAGGCGCACTGTTCCAGCTTCTGTGCCTGGTAAGTGTCACTAAGCCAGCTTTACCCTTAACAAACCTATTTGAGAAAAATGTGGAAGACACATTTTCTCAGTGGCTTGCCTCTCTATGGGTCTTTCCAGGTATCTGCTTCCTGTCTGGAGGCCAGAGCGAGGAGGAGGCCTCCCTCAACCTGAACGCCATCAACCAGGTGCCCCTCAACCGCCCCTGGAAGCTGAGCTTTTCTTACGGCCGTGCGCTCCAGGCCTCTGCTCTCGCAGCCTGGCAGGGCAAAACTGCCAACAAAGCCGCTGCACAGGAAGCTTTCTGCAGCCGGGCCAAGGTGAGTCTCAGAGGTCATGAAGCTATCACTTCCACTGAATAGACGGTAATAAATGACTTCCTCCCTATCAATTTAAAATTGCTGATGGTGAATAAACTGGCTTTAAAATTACTCTCACCTTGTACTACCAAACTTTATACTGACCTGTAAATGATTGATTCTTAAAAGCTTGTCCATTCAGTCTTGCACTAATGTGGCTCAGGCTGATCATTAACACTCAGATTTGACTTTGCCCTCTGTTGTTCTCCTCAGATCAACGGCCTGGCTTCCAAAGGAGAGTACAAGGCCTCCGGCTCAGCTGACCAGGCCTCCATGAAGTCTCTGTTCTCAGCCAGCTACATTTATTAAAAACTGAACGTAAAAAAAAAGAAAAGAATTGCACATGGACCAAATATGACGCAGAGAAATGCCTCTGCTGGACTTCCCTACCAACACCAGGGGAAGACCTCCATTATAAGGTTGAAATACCTTTCTACTCAATGAAATGTATGAAAAATAAATGTAAGTGACCAAAATATTGGTGATGTCATCTGTTTTTGGATTTCAGAGTGTCAAATTTGATTAATTGCCAGCAATAACTCAACTGAGAGCCTTTTTGTTTTTCTTAACAATGTTAAACAGAGGGGGAAAAGCTATTGGATCCTAGCATAATTGTGCTTGTGGGTTTCACACACAACTGAATAATATATTGCAATATGACTCAATTGTGGCACATGGCCATGCAGCTTATGCAAGTTTACCCCCACCTTAAGCTAAACCCATTCCTGGGGTTGATTCCTGTTTTTTCAACAATAAATGCAGGCCACACGAGTGAGAGCACCAGAGTCAAAAGACAATTGAGTTGTGTTTGTTAAATTAATGACAATTAAGTGCATGTGATTGCTTTTGGATTTACTGGCAAATTTCTTCTCCTTGACCTGCCGGTTTTGGAACCAGAGGATGTCTATGAAAAAACTAAATGAGGCAGCCACAACATTCATGGGGATATACTGATAGCATTTTTAGAGAATCCATATGTAATCTAAATGTGTTGCTCCACCTCAAAATTGACAAAGGATCAGAAGCTAATAAGCACACTGAAAATGTGCTGATGCTGATCAGTTTGGTTACACAAATATAAATGTTAAACTGTAAGTAAAAGTATTACATTCTACATTTTCAGGAACAAAATGATTAATATTACTTATTTGATCATCTTTTAGGCAATGGTGAAAGGATCACATCGTTTATTTGTATTCAATATGTTGTAAATTCTAACTTATGCTGGCTTTTTAACTTGTAGCCTACTCAAAACTAAAACAAAGACCCCGATTAATTATTTGCTTGCCATCTAACAATGTGTTCAAGGTGGTACAGACTGTTATCTTTATATGATAAACAATGATGATGAATCAATATTAATTAATTATTACTCCAGTACAGGCGTACGGACCGAGGCGCTTGCGCAGTACTGTCGTACCAATAATGACGTTCAAGAACGGCCTCTCGTGTATGATTGCTTAAGTGCACTACGTTTGTGTGGAGTGGTCACTGTTAGTGTATAGATACAAATGTGTGTAATATAATCAGTGACCTGAGAATCATTTAATTGTATTGTTTATTTAGCAAAGACAATATACATTACATTTAGTGCACCACATAAGCTCAAACTAAATCAAAAATATTTGTTTTTCACACATTCAAAGGCCCAAAGTGGCAACAGGTTTCAAAGTCATATAAATGAAAATGGTGAACTATATTTAAGTCAAAAGCTTAAAAAAATTATGCTGGATGTTTGTGTCCGAGGATATAAAAAGCCAGATGTATTAAAACATACTGTAATTCCTCTAAAGTGGCAATCCCAGGTGGATCTGCTGTAACTAAATCACAAAGCAGAAATATTTGCAGCTCAGTATATCAAATATATAAAGAGGTTCACAATGATTATCAAAAGCTGCAGTTCATAACGATGCTCATTTTCTGCACATTAAAAATAATACAGGTAATGTAGATAATAATCACATAATGTTGATGTATAATTCTTTATAGTTATTACAATAACAGCGTTAACTAACAATACTTTACATATTGGTGTATGTATCAGTGATCAGTATCAGCCCTGTTTGCCTCGAGGCTTTAATTCAAAGTAATGTACCTTAGCTTTAGTTCACTACTGTATGACCCGTATCAGTAAATACATATAAGCTTTCCTTCAGATAATAGTGGTAACTTTAATCCCTTAAAGGTGGGGTATGTAATTTAGGAGAAACCAGCTCGAGTGCGCTAGAATTTGAAAGTACACAACCGTAAAAAATCTATCTCTTCCTTCAGGCTTCCTTATGAGCCCCTCCTCCAACACACACGGATGCGCACATGACCAATGAGGGCACGAGATAAGTTTGTGCACAGATGGAAGGCTGACAGGCAGGTAGGCCATCCAGTTACTTTAGCCGGGCCGGCTCAGATGATTGGTCGTGCTTTTTACAGCACTAGGGCTTCCTTCCACAGATTAATTTTTTAAATGTATTTATTGTCAAAGCATTTAATGTATTCATTGCTGCAATGAATACATTAAATGCTTTGACAATAAATACATTTAAAAAATTAATCTGTGGAAGGAAGCCCTAGTGCTGTAAAAAGCACGACCAATCATCTGAGNGTGTGTGTGTGTGTGTGTGTGTGTGTGTGTGTGTGTGTGTGTGTGTGTGTGTGTGTGTGTCTTCCCTCTCTCCCTGGTGTAATTGTGTCCCTAATTTAGGGACACAATTACACCAGGGAGAGAGGGAAGACACACACACACACACACACACACACACACACACACACACACACACACACACACACACACNCTCANAACAGCGGTTTCATGTTTTCAAAATGGCATTTAAAGTGTTAAAATCCTGAAAATGATTACATTTTTGGTATTTTCTATTAGGGCGGAAGTTGCTTTAAAGATTGAACCCAAAAAAGTTGTGAAAAAAACCTATTAATATAATGTTTTTATCAAAGTCTTTTGCAGTGGACATTTTTGTCTCGAATGACTAATTTGTGTAGTCGATTTGTTACACAGTGAATTAAAGACCGATTTGAAAAATTGAAATTGGAATTCCAAAATAGATCGAGAAAATAGCCTTGTTACAAAAAATCAGGCCATTTGCACCAACACAACCAAAGTTATTGCAAAATGAAAAGTGAAAAATGACCCATACGGACAAAAACGTCCACAGTGATACCGGAGGGTTAAGGGACAACTTGAATGCTTTTTTCCTTTTTTCCTTCTTAATGCATTGCATAAAGATCGGATCGGGAAAAATCGGTTTCGGCAGATTGTCAAAATCAAATGATCGGAATCGGATCGGGAGCAAAAAAAGGTGATCGGGACATCCCTAGTTATGCCTGAGGCTAGGAGACTGCAAATAGCATATGCTTCCTGCAAGCAGATCCTCACTTCTCCAAAGCAGGTGCCAGATATGATTAAAATGAATGAATGGAAATGCATTTGACTGCATTTAATTAGAATTATGTTAATAGGACACGTTTATTTTCTACTGGCATTATAGAAGAGTGCAATTTCTAAATGCTTACATTTCTCTGAGGAGAATGTCTTTGATTATTGTGCATCCCACTTTTATGTATTTGCTGTTGTCTAGGCCTACCTAGCATGACTCTTGAAATAGTTCAAAGTTTACTGTAAGCATCTGTACAGAGATTTACTGGAGATTGCAATGGGTTTTGGTTTTACATTCCTGTTATCAGAGAAAGAAAGTGACTGGTATTGTCAGAACTCAGTAGATTTTCTTTGCAGGCTGTCTTGCAGTAGGTGTTGGGTATCTTAGATCACATTACACCATATAGTCTGCTGGCTGTTGTACCTCTGATAGAGCAAGACCTCTGAGAGGTTTGTGTATACTAATGAATTTGAATACTTTCACAGGCCAAGGCTATGTAAACATCCTCATTTTACAGCCGTCATACATGGTAACCTTTTTACAAATTCATGTTGTTCTGTAACGTGTTAATGGCGTGCTGCAGAGTGTGTGGGTGTGTGAAGTGTACCTATGTTTCCGTGTATGTGCAGGTTTAGGTGAATGATCTGGTTGAGCCGGTTCCTTACTCTCAGTGTCTGTCATCCTAACAGATTAACAAGGAACCCTCCTCTTTGCCAATGCCCGAGGCACTTAAACTTTCATCACCTCTTTTCAGTCTGTTTCCCCGGTTTCCCCTTGAAATTATCCTACCTGATTGGTCAGAGTTGATCTATAGCAACATTGTAATTATTCCTTAGTTATTTATTGTTTGTCCAAATCTGCCTTCTTATGCTGATCGTACGAATCAAAAAAAAAACAACCTGCATATTCAACTTTATGTCCGTCAGATTGTGTAACATATCGTTTCAGAATAGGCTTTGGCAATCCTACAGCAATCCTGTGCTGTCATCAGCTTACTTTCCCAAACCCGCGTCAAATTTTAAGTAATGACGTGTTGATTGATATCTCCTAACCTTGGGGTGATTTGAAAACCAGACACTACTAGGGTCTGCACCCCTTCATCCTCACTAACAGACACATGCTGCAGCCTAGCCCCCCTCCTTTTCACTCGTACCACAAGCCTTCAACTGTGGTGGTCCTAAAGTAAGATTGATGGGCTCTACTCCATCACTCTCTGACTTGAATGAGAACAGCCTCAGTAACGGTATTGGACAGAGAGAAAGGAGGGGCAGTCAAAGAGATACAATGCCACTTTACATCACCTTGCATCTCAGCCTGAACCACAGTGATGTCGGAAAACTGATAGGATAGTGAATATTCATTTATTGCCATTTGTTTATTTTTGCTGCCTCATGTCAGGATGACACATCATAGAGAGGAGAAAACACCAAAATAAAAATATAGAATAAAAAATAGTGCAGGAACAACACCATAGAGAAAAGCGAGAACAAATGTCTCCACATTCTTCACACTTGAAGCTCTAAGCTAGTTTGAATCGACCCTCCTGGTTATTGTCATCGTAGTGGCACCGTTTCTCCATGCACAGCAGAGAGAATGAGATGTATTGCATAACGTTACAGTCTTGTTTCAGGTATCAGCAAGTTCTGAAATGTGTGTGTGTGTGTGTGTGTGTGTGTGTGTGTGTGTGTGTGTGTGTGTGTGTGTGTGTGTGTGTGTGTGTGTGTGTGTGTGTGTGTGTGTGTGTGTGTGTGTGTGTGTGTGTGTGTGTGTGTGTGTGTGTGTGTGAGTGTGTGTGTGTGTGTGTGTAGTGTAGTANTGAAGTTCCAAACCATTCAAAACATTGAGGTCAAGCTGGGTCAAGATCATACATCTGTTTACCTCTAAGACACATGAGACAGCACAAATGAAAAACAAAACGCAATGAGAGCACACTTACTCCTGTCTCATTCTCACACACAATCACTCAATCACACACAAGGTATAAGGAGGCTTAATATTTGCGAGTGTGTATGAGTTTGGGAATGAGGGAGTGAGAGAAAAAGAAAGAAAGATATGAGGCGAAAACTGCGACTTGCTGTAAACCAAATCTACTGTATATTGTTGTCTCACTGTACATCCAGACACACACACACACACACACATTTCTCAGCTGATACCACTCTTCCACATCCATACCAACACACCTACATCATATTAGTTTCATACATGTATTCCAATCGCTGTCAGGACCCCATTATACAACAGGCAAAGAAACCAAGTGACAAGCATGTAATTCAATGGTAAAATGTCACATCTGG